TAATTTATTTCATAACTATCTTATACCTAATGGCAAAAGTATTAATTCGTTTCTATGTAATGCCGTACGAATGATGTGACTTTTAGTTTCGTAAAAATGAAACAATTTTTTTTTCAAAGAAATTTTTCGTCAACACAAGCTTGTTAACTTCCCGTAGGGCAAGTTATAGTAATCGCAAAAAAATCAAAAATGAAAATTTTTATAGATCTTTACGTTTCAAAACCTTCTGAACATTTTGGCATACCTTAGAAAAAATAGATGTATGTATGTGTGTGTGTGTGTATGTGTTTGTGTATGTGCGTGTGTATGTGTGTGTGCGTGTATGTATGCATGTGCGGATACAAATTTGCGTCGACGATTTCGGGAACACGGATCAACCGATTTGAATAATTCAAAAAACATTCGATTCGTATTGATAAGGAGATGTGCTGATTAGTTTTGGGCGAAGGCAGGTCTAACTGTTCCGAAGATACGGGGCAAAAAGTGCCGAAAACGTTAACTCAGTTTTTAAGAGAACGGAGCGTCCGATTTGAATAATTCAAAAACCATTTTATATGTATTAACTAAATGAAGAACTGATCTTATTTTCATAGAGGTCTAGCGGTTTCGGAGATCTAATGGAAAAAGTAAAAAAAAAATGTCATTTCGCGGTCAAAAATGATCATTAGACATATGCACATCAAATTATCAATTATTTTATAGAAATTTTAACAATAAGTATAAATTTTGTTTGCATTCCTATGGGTTCCGTACCAATGTTTATTCGTTAGACAGCGACGCGGCGCTTACGCGCTTTGACATTTTGTCTCTATGCAGTTAAAGCAGTACGATTGCTTTGAAAAAAAGTTCAGAATTTCTAAAATATGTCAAAATAAAGAAAACATTTTTTTTTTTTAATTTTTTTTTCAAAAAAAGTAATTTTTTGTCAACTTACTAGTTTCTCAAAAATCTATTTTTTTCGAAGTAAAATTTTTTTCAAAAATGTTAATCGTTTTTAAAAAAATAATAATATTTGGTACGAGAAGTTCCAGCAATTTGCCTTAAGGCACGATGCCATAATTGCCTTAAGACAGAATTCCACTTACAGCTAGTTTGTTTGTTGAATCATTCATATCGTACGTTTAGTTCTCTCAAAAACCTCAATTTTTTCCATAAACCATCAAAATCGCTCGATTCAGGGCATACGATTTGCTGGTGTACCATATGGAATAGAAAGAGATATAAAAATTAAATAAATCAAGTAAACTATTCAAAAGGCACAAAGGATTTGAAATCCTTTGGAATAGGGAAGGTGGCCGATGAATTAGGCTTTTGGCGCGTGCAGGCAGCAGCTGCGACAAAATTGTGTAGGCAGTTTATTACAAAATGAAATACACCTATAACTTATACATCTGCTTCGTAACGGACAAATAGTTACTACTAGTATATATATATATATATATATATATATATATATATACATGTTAAAAAATTTTTTAGGGCAGTACATTAAATAGAAAAGTACAACTAGTAGTGCATGGCATCGTGCCTCAAGGCAATTTGCTGAAACTTTCCGTTCCAAACATTTTTTTTTCAAAAAGCTTGAAAATTTTGAAAAAATTAGATATTTGAGAATTTGAAAATTATGAAAATACTTGACTTTTTTGAAAAATGTTTAAGTATTTTTTTTATATTTTTTATTTTCAAAAAATCTTGAACTTTTTCAAGAAATTTCAATGAAATATCGAAACGCGTAAACCAGCGGTTTCCAACCTTTTTTGCATCGCGCCCCCCTGCAAATATAAAAAAAATTGCTGCGCCCCCCCTTATTTTTTTAACTGCTTAATTTTATAAATACTCAACTGATATTATCAGACTACAAATTAATATGCAATATTATGTAAAAATATTCATAAAAACTAAATATTTTTTGTTTATTTTTTAATAACGTTCCATAAATGTTGGGTTATTTTTGATAATAGTATTCTGGAAACAGTTGTACGCGCCCCCCTTAGGACAGCCTGGCGCCCCACTAAGGGGGCGCGCCCCACAGGTTGGAAACCGCTGGCGTAAACGCTGCATCGCACTCTGACGAATAAACATTATTACGGAACACATATAAATGTTTTGTACTTATATATAAAACCCTACGAGAAGTTGTTAATTAACAGATTCTATTCTATTTTGAGTAATACTACAATTTGGAACGAAAACAGTACACATTTAAAAGGTTTGTGACTAACCAACAAAGACTAAACCTTTACAAGTGTATTAAAAAAAATAAACCTAACTTTGTTTATTCTTTTAATAATTGGAAAAGTACCTGGAAAAATATATAAATTTCGTATTTCTTTATTTCACTAACTTCTATATGTAGTTCATTATAATGGTAATATACAAGATAATATAATGTAACGTTGATTACTTAGCTTATTAAACTTATATAAATAAATAAATAAATGTATATATATATATATATATATAAATATATATATCTATATATATATATATATATATGTGTGTGTATGTTTGTGTTTGTCACAATCTTCAGGGCAGTCATCAAATGCAAATTAAAGAATATTATATAATCTTTATTATTTGGACATATTATCTTATGTCATCTTCAGTAAAATTTAAGATCGAGTACTTCTAAATCAGTAACTAATAATTTACAAAAAAAAATTGTCAAGAAATAGAAAAGTACTTTGTGAATTATTTGTTATTTATAAGTACTCCATCTTAAATTTCACTGTAGATTCTTATTCAAAAATTTAGATAATTTATTTTAAATTTAAACAGTTTTAATTTACTTTTTACATAATGCAGTGTAATGCCATTTTATTATATTTTCAATATCAAGTAAATAATAAGCACAAAATAGCGACTGTTTAAAAAAAAATTACAACTTTTGTTGATATTATCCAATTTTTTGAAAATGGTAAATTTTGGAATTGGATATGAGTGAATGTTCATACTGGTGAGATAGTATTCTCATCTTTCTGAAGAAAACTGTAGAAAAATTACAAGTAAAGCAACAATCGTGGGGGTCGAAAAAGAAAGTTTCGTAGAGAACAGAGGAGGATTATCGTAGTCAAACGGATTTATCTAAGAAAATAGTTTAAATTTTGAAAAATGCTCTTATACCTATGTTCTTGAATAGTTAAATTTTGAAAATAATAAAAAAAAGATTTCTTAAAATTTGTGGACTACAAATACCCCATTAAATATCTTATTGATAACTTTCCGTAGGGTAACTTATAGCAATCGCAAAAAAAACGATATTGAATTTTTTTGCATATCTTCACGTTTGAAATTTTTATCGACTATTTTATGAACACTGTCAACTGATGTGAAAAATTCATAAAACATTCGATTCGTATTGATGGGGCGACGTGCTGGCTAGTTTTTGGCAAAGGCAGGTCCAATAGTTTTAAAGATACCGGGCAAATAGTGCCAAAAATGGCAATTCGGTTCGATTTGAATGATTCAAAAAACATTTTAGTAAAAAACAATTTTAGGGAAAAGTTAAATAAAAGTTATTTGGCGATCAAAGATAAACATTAGACATATGTACATCAGAGCATCAGATATTTTATAGAAATTTTAATAATAAACGAATTTTCTTTACATTTCTATGGGTTCCGTACCAATGATTATGCGTTAGACTACGGTGCAGCGATTTCGCGCTTCGATACTCTTTCTCTAAAATAGCCACGCAGCACGATTTGCTTTGAAAAAAAAGTTCAAACTTTTCAGAAAAATTTAAAGTATGAAAAAAATTTCGAAGTACAAAAAAAATCAAATTTTTCAAAAAAGTTAAATTTTTTGAAAAAATTCAAAATTCTCAAAAATCTTATTGTTTTCAAAGTTTTCAAATATTTCAAAGGTTTTTTTAAAAATTTTAATTTTTGGTACGGGGTTTTGCCTTAAGACTCGATGCCATGCACCACTAGTTCAATTTTTGGTTTCCACTGATTTTTAACTTCCCGTAGGGCAAGTTATAGTAATCGCAAAAAAATCGAAAATGAAAATTTTTATATATCTTTACGTTTCAAAGGTTTCTGAACATTTTGGCATACCTTAGAAAAAATGGATGTATGTGTGTGTGTGTGTGTATGTGTGTGCGTGTATGTATGTATGTGCGGATACAAATTTTCGTCGACGATTTCGGGAACACGGATCAACCGATTTGAATAATTCAAAAAACATTCGATTCGTATTGATAAGGAGATGTGCTGATTAGTTTTGGGCGAAGGCAGGTCTAACTGTTCCGAAGATACGGGGCAAAAAGTGCCGAAAACGTTAACTCAGTTTTTAAGAGAACGGAGCGTCCGATTTGAATAATTCAAATAACATTTCACTTGTATTGACAAGATGAAGAATTGATCAAATTTTCATGAAGGCAGGTCTAGCGGTTTCGGAGATCTAATGAAAAAAGTAAAAAAAATGCCTAAATGGTTAAAAATGATCATTAGACATATGCACATCAAATTATCAAATATTTTATAGAGATTTTAACAATAATTATATTTTTTTTTACATTTCTATGGCGGCGCGGCACTTGCGCGCTTTGACATTTCGTCTCTATGCAGTTCAAGCAGTACGATTGCTTTGAAAAAAAGTTCAGTATTTCCAAAATATGTTAAAATGAAGAAAACATTTTTCTTTTCAAAAAAATTTAGTTTTCAAAAAAAGTAATTTTTTGTCAAATTTATAGTTTCTCAAAAATCTAATTTTTTCGAAGTAAATTTTTTTCAAAAATGTTAATCGTTTTTAAAATAATAATTTTTGGTACGGGAAGTTCCAGCAGTTTGCCTTAAGGCACGATGCCTGAATTGCCTTAAGAAAGAATTCCACTTCCAGGTAGTTCGCTGATTTTCCACAGCTCTTTTGTTAGAATCCTCGCATCGACATCCGCCTCTGACCTCTCCCAACAACAAACCCGCAAAGCGCGACTCGGAGCTTCGTTATAAATATAAACCGTGTTTACCATCTGTCTGTTAGTCTCCTCTTCTGTCTCGATCGCTACACAACATTACATGGACTTTGGAAAATAAGTTCCATTTTAAAAATTTTATTTAGTCATGATAATTAACAATCGATATTTGATTGTTGTTTTAGTTAGTTAATGAGTTAAGTGCGTTTGGTGTAATGAGTGAGATTATTAGTGAGCTGTTAAATTAACCAGTGCGGTAATAATATTTTCATAATACTCAGCGGCGTCATTTCTGCTTATGCATTTGACATTGTTATTGACCTTGATGTTTTGTTTATATTTTTTTGCGATATATTTTTAGGCACCTACGTCTTATCTTACATACCTGCGACTGATTTTTATTCGCACCTTAGACTTATATATATATATATATATATATATATATATATTTTGAAATATGTGAGTTTGGTGTTGATACATATTTTGGTGAATTATTTAGAATCGGGCAGTAACACCAAGTAAAAAAAAAACTAAAGTAGTTTTGAAATACTTTATTTATCTATACGTTTCGGTCTTCATCGAGACCGTCATTCTGTAGAAAAAAAAGAAATTAATTATACAAAAATATACTACACTATTACACTGTGATAAACCAAGCTATTTAAACATAATTGGAACATTTAAACAAAATAAGTAAGGTAAATATTTTTTTAAAACATCTGTTTAAAACAAGCTTGTCTAGCCTGCCTCGGAACACGAGTGCTTACATAAAATATTCTATTTGTTAATTATTTTTTTATTTTTTATTCTTTATGAAAAAGAAATTACTGACATTTGGTGCTTGTTTCCAATATTAATTTTTACAAGCTGTATTAATATGTGAAAGTGATAGTCTAAGAAATTCAAAACCACTGACGATGGCGTAGAATTTTACGTCGAAACGTATGGAAAAATAAAGATGTTTTAAAAAAATCTTTACCTTACTTATTTTTTATTATTTTTTACTTGATGTTACGCCCTCCAAGAAATCAATCATATATATATATATATATATATATATATATATATATATATATATATATTACTGAAAAAACATATTTCAAAGTAACTAGCAGCCCATTCGTCGAAATAAAAATGTAATAAAGTGTTTAAGAATTTTTACTTATACGTTTCGACACCAGATGCGTGTCATCATTCAGCAACTGCAATAAATTTGAAAGAAATTACTAATAATAAAAACAAATCTAAATTAATTATAAACATAGAGAAACATTATACATACTACCAGGACAAAAACACTCGAAAAAATATTTAAAAAAAAATCAAACTTGTAACATATTAGAAAAGGACATTTTTTTGGAAAAATAATGAATAACTACAAAATTAGAAACATTTTGAAAAAAGTTTTAAACTGTAACATTATGACGCAAGAAACACGCCCATATCAAGCAAACGACTCGACTATAATGTTAACCAAGGCGTGTCTTATATATAAAACCAGGAAAAATCAAAACAGTATTTTTTTAAACTTACAATTTAAACTTGCCCTTTAATTACTTACTATCAGTGGTGTTATGCTAATATTTTTTTTGCCGGAACGCTAAAATTAAAAAACCGGTTCAAAAAAACGGTTTGCATGTTTGTTTCGGTTCCGTTCAAAAAGGAAAGAAACGAAAATCATTACAAAACCCAATTTGTGCACATATATGTATGTTTGAAATAATAGAGTTTGAATAAATAAAAATAATACATTTTTAAATAAAAAACTTTTAACTTTTATATAAAAAAAAAGTTAGATACATATTGATACATAATTGTTAATGTCAATTTTATTTCTAAAAACAATTAAACAAAACCCCGAGTTTATTATATTCCAAACAATTTTAATTAATTAATTTCAAATCTTTATTTTTTAGTTAAATGAAATATGATTGCTAAAAGCTGAGCACGTCTATCGATTTGTTATTTAGAAGTGTTTCTTGTTTACTCACAAAATTTCTGCAAATTTTTCGAAATAAAAAATACTCTCTCACTTGCAACCGAACTAAAGTAAGATATAATAATTCTGGAAATTTTGTTTTTTTATTTGTGGCTTGTAGTGCTAAAAACTCTTTTTTTATTTGAGTAGAGCAATTAACTCCTTCAACAAGAAGACGCATTGATCTAAATTAATATATCCATTGATATAATAATCTAAATTAATATATACATTTGACAAAAGATAACACAGAACCTTTCTGGGAACTATAACAGACTGATATGATTCCAAATTCCTGCTTTCATCTAGTATATTTGTAATTTTCCATTTATACAATAAAAACCGTTTTTTTTCCGCTAAAACACCTGTTTTCGAATTACATAATTTTCGTCAAAAAACCGGTTTTTGAAAACCGACAAACCCTAGTGCATACCTTCCGATGCAATATTAGTGCAATATTAGATGGTATGCAGTTCTCTACAATTTCCTTAAAAAATATTGTATAAAATAGTGCCCACATACACTTAGTGCTTTATATCAAATAATAAATACTACTTACTTTGTTTAGAAACCAGAAAATGCTCAAAATTTATATATTCTTATAATCAGAAACAGAATTTGGAAAGTTATAATAGAATTTTGCTGAAGATGACACAAACATAGTGTCGAAATTAGTTGAATAAAGAAACTATATTATTATTTATATTTTTTAATTTCCCGTAGGGTAAGTTATTGCAATCGTCCAAAAATCGAAATTGAAATTTTCTGCATATCTTCACGTTTTGAAGGTTTCTGAACATTCTGGCATACCTCAGAATAAAATGGATGTGTGTATGCATGTATGGATACAATTTTTCGTCCGCGTTTTCGGCTAAAAAAACATTCGATTTCTATTGATAGGGAGATGTGCTGATTAGTTTTTGGCGAAGGCAGGTCCAGCACTTCGGAGATACGGAACAAAGAGAGCAGTAAATAGAAACCGAGTTTTTGAGAGAATCGAGTATCCGATTTGAATGATTTAAAAACATTAAATTTGTAATGATTGGGAGAAGTGGTGATTAGTTTTTAACAAAGGCAGGTCCCGCCATTTCGAAGATACAGAGCTAAATGTACAAAAATGGCAGTTTTTGATAGAATTAAGCATCCGATTTGAATTACTCATAAAACTTTCTGCAACAAATGCTTTTGGAAAAAAAAAAAAAAACTTTCTTTTATTACATTTTTTTGTATATTATAAATAATTCAGATTTTAATTTTAATTCTGGCTAAAGTTTTAAAGCTAGCTTATATACTTTAAATAAACAATTTTAACTTTGTAATTCAGTTTATATAATTCTTATAAATATTAGACAATGTTACAGTATTTATAATAATCTATTTGAAAACATTTAGTATTACTAAAACATTTCGTGACGGTACGGGAAGTTCCAGCAATTTTCTTTAGGGCACGATGCCAGTTGCAATGGATTGCACAAACTAATGTTGTTCAGGATGGTATGCAGTTCCCTACAATTTTTGTTTTAAAAAATATTGTATAAAAAGTGAACACTTAGTGCTTATCTCAGTGTCGCTAGACCTGCCTTCCCAAAAATTTCACCAATTCTTCATTTTGTCAATAAAAATAAAATGCTTTTTGAGTCATCCAAATCGGACGCTCGGTTCTCTCAAAAATTGAATTGCCATTTTTGGCACTTTTTGCCCGGTATCTTCAGAACGGCTGAACCTGCCTTTGCCAAAAACTAATTAGCACGTCTCCTTTTTAATAAGAATCGAATGTTTTTTGAATCATTTAAATTGGTTCATCTGTGTTCTCGATATCGTCGACAAAAATTGTATCCGCACATACATACACGCACACACATACACGCACACACATACATCATTTTTTTTTTTCAAGATATGCCAAAATTATCAGGAACCTTTGAAACGCAAAGATATATAAAAAAAACATTTTCAATTTGTTTGCGATTACTATAACTTACTCTATGGGAAGTTAAAAATTGACAAAATGGCGACTGTTCGAAAAAAAGATAATTTTTTATACCACTTTTTTGAGTTTCTCTATTCTTTTTAATTTGAAAAAGTGGAATTTGGTAATTAGGGGTAGACCATACGGATGAGAAGTCTTGAAAGAAGACTCTAAAATTATTGCAAGCAAATCGCTCGAGTAGAAATTGAGAAATCGTAGGTATCGTATCAAAAAAGGAATATTCTTGTGAATCAAATTTATCTCCGAAAATAATTTAAATTTTGAGAAAATCTTTGTACACATATTCTTGAACTTTGAAAACTTTGAAAAAAAAATCGATTTTTGAAAATTCTAGACTAGAATATCCCTTTCAGTATGATAGTCTCCTATAAGAGCTTTTAACGTGAAATGTTTTTGGAGTAAGAAATCATGACATATTTATTAACTTCTGCGATAATTTCTTAAAATTATAGTAATCGCAAAAAATTGAAAATTAAAATTTTTGGCATATCTTTACGTTTCAAAGTTTTCTGAACATTTTGGCTACCTCAAAAAAATTGATGTATGTATGTGTGCGTGTGTGTATGTATGTTTGGATATACAATTTTTCGTTCACAATATCATATGAATTTATTTGGTTCTCTGGTTAATGTAAACACCCTATAGAATATATAATCAATAAAGTATTTATAATTATCTATTCGTAAATATTAAAAACAATTGTTATCATTGATCAATATTTATTGATTACTGATTTTTTCCCTCAAATATTTAATTTTGTTTCGAAAAATTCCAGCAATGTGCCTTAAGGCAGGATCCACCACTAGTTCTTTTTTTTAACTTTTTGTGAGGCAAGTTATAGCAATCGCAAAAAAATCGAAAAAGAAAATTTTCATATATCTTTACGTTTCAAAACCTTCTGAACATTTTGGCATACCTTACAAAAAATGGATGTATGTGTGTGTGTGTGTGTGCGTGTGCGTGTATGTGTGTGTGTGCGGATACAAATTTTCGTCGACGATTTCGTGAACACGGATGAAGCGATTTGAATAATTTAAAAAACGTTCGATTTGTATTGATAAGGAGACGTGCTGATTAGTTTTTGGCGAAAGCAGGTCTATACGTTCCAAAGATATGGGGCAAAAAGTGCCAAAAGCAGTAACTCAGTTTTTAAGAGAACGGAGTGTCCGATTTTAATATTTCAAAAAACATTTTACTTGTATTGACAAGATGAATAATTGGTCAAATTTTCCTGTAGGCAGGTCTAGCGATTTCGGAGATCTAGTGAAAAAAAGTAAAAAAAATGCCATTTGGCGGTCAAAAATGATAATTAGACATATGCAAATCAAATTATCAGATATTTTATAAAGATTTTAACAATAAGTATAATTTTTGTTTACATTCCTATGGGTTCCGTACCAATGCTTTTTCGTTAGACGGCGATGCGGCGCTTACGTGCTTCAATATTTTGTGTCTATGTAGTTAAAGCAGTACGATTGATTTAAAAAAAAGTTCAGGATTTCCAAAATATGTCAAAATAAAGAGAACATTTTTTTTTTCAAAAAAAAATTTTTTTTAAAAAAAAGTAATTTTTTGTCATTTTATAGTTTCTCAAAAATCTGATTTTTTCGAAGTAATTTTTTTTCAAAAATATTAATTGTTTTTAAAAAAATGATAATTTTTGGTACGGGAAGTTCCAGCAATTTGCCTAAAGGCACGATGCCATGCGCCTCACTAGTTGTTCAATTTGTTTAATAGCAGTATAATTTTCAGAGCATTTAATATTTTCAAGAAATCAAGGACAAATGATAATTGAATCCGCCTCTGATAGAGAACGCTGCTAAATTGATATTGAAAACAGTTCTCAGAATTTCGCGCTGACACTTCGTTACATGCATTTCGAGTTGTTTTATTATGGAGAATTTACATTACACTTGTATACGTTTAGATAAGGCGTCTGAAATATGTATTTATTTATGTTCAATGTTTTGAAAAGATATGATTATATTTTGCTTTGCTGCGCCTTAACCAGTCAACTGTGTCGTTCACATTGACCAGTGCGATTGTCCCCGAATCGAACCCATGACGAGTATATTCGTCAATCACAGAGCATGCATGCTGAATGCTAAGATATTGGATGAAAAATATGCGTTTATTTTAGAAAATTAAAAATATTGTTAACATAACCTGTTATTACATACGCATTAAACTGAAAACGTAATAATATTGTACAGAAAAATCATTTAATTGATTAATACAAATTGTTGAATTTACTGGTTAATACAATTAACTGCTACTTGAATATTTTAACTAGTGGGCTTGCATCGTGCCTTAAGTCAAATTCGAAGTATATTAAATGTTTTCAAATATATGATAAATACTGTAACTTTCATTATTCGTATTTTATAGACAAAAGATAAGAGCTTATAAATTGGACGAAGACGTTTATATATGCTTACATGAAAAGTAAATAAACAAAATTTAATCAAGCAGAGTACCTTATCTTATATTTCTGAGAATTATATAAATTGAATTGCAAAGTTTAAATTATTTATTTGAAGTATAAAAGTGAGCTTTAGAAATTTATCTAAAATTAAATTTAAAATCCGAATCATTTTCGATATTTCTAAAAATAATTTTTTTAAAATTAAATTTTTTTTTGGCAATTTACCCAAAAGTTGTTTTTCCAAGATCTAATCGTTTCTTCACACTGTCAAATGTTTTTTGAATCATTCAAATTCGATGCTTCGTTCTTTCAAAAACTACAATTTTTTGCACATTTAGCTCCATCTCTCCGAAATGGCTGGTTCTGTCTTTGCCAAAGACTGATTAGTACGTTTCCCCATTAGTAGGAATCGAATGTTTTTTGAATATTCCAAATCGGTTAAAATGCGCGCCCAAATTCATGACGAAAAATTGTATCCACACAAAACACACACACGCACACACACAACATCAATTTTTTCTAAGGTATGCCAAAATGTTTAGAAACCTCTGTAACGTGAAGATATGCAAAAATTTAGTTTATCTGTAACATGTTTTATTGCTATTATTATATACTATATACTATTTTTATTACTATGTTATTTAAATCTATGATTAATTTTATTTCATTCTGTAAAGGGGCTGTGCTTTTCAGCAAACTCGCTTGTTCTTTTTTGGTTTCATCAAAATTTAGTATCTGCCTAGCTTTAAGTTTATGTATATGCCGATTTTCATGTTTTGATTTTATGTATTAAAATGCATTGTTTCTTTCTATAATTTTTTCAAATTTGATTCTATTCAGAAGTCGGATGACCAGCGATTGGCTTGGTACGAGTTGATTCGAATCAACTAAAATCTTACCCGAATGATGTCGTTTATGACTTGAATCACTTGATTAGACTTGGTGCATTATTATATTGCAAAGCGAGATGTTGCCACCTACAATGGAGTCTGTTGTCGACGAAGGCGAGTGTTTATTTAATATCATTTTTAAATATGTTACAAAATATGCATATTTGTAAGTAGTGCAGTAAACGGAGAGAAAAAAAGGGTGTAACCTCTGAATTTTTTTTACTGTGCTCCGAATTGTATGAAATTTTGGAATTAGGTACATCTTACTCTCAAGTTCAAATGTGAAAACAATTCGGTCTGAAATCGATAGAAGAACTAATTATAAGAAAAAAATGTCTCTTATAGTTTTTCAAAAAAACTAATACTTTTCAAGTTACTGGCCAATAAAGATTCATATATTTTTGGCGTTTTTCTTCGTTTTTTTGCAAATATCTCCTAAAATATACATTTTAACGAAAATCATGTAATAAACAAAATAATGTCAATAAAAATCTTAATAAATCGGTATTACATAAAGTGTTCTAGGAAAAGTATTAAGCAAGATTTGAAAGAGCAAAGTCGTTTTCTATTTCGTTCAAGATTTAATTGCTGTATTAAAAGCCATCTAGTATCAAGGTTTTACATTTTATGCATTTCGGTGAAATTGGGTTTTATAGTGCTCAACATAAGCTTTAAAATGAGTGCTGTTGCAAGTGTTTTGCGTGTAAAATGAGTGAGCTATCATGCAAATAAGAAGCATATACGAAGTTTTTTCCATTTAAATCATATGGTTTAATGAGCGCCATTTCCACCAGAATTAAAGTAATTCACATTCCATCTAGAATTCACTTCATTATAGACATCTTGATCACTACTTTAGCACAAACTATTTTCAGAAAACTCACGATTTTATAAGAACTTTATTTAACTTTAACGTTATTTTGAAAAAATGTAATTACACAATTGAGAAGGGTGTCATCCCCCCGGCGGGTGATGGCGCAACCCGAATTGTTTTCACTTTTGAACTTGAGGGTAAGATGAACCTAATTCCAAAATTTCATTCAATTCGGAGTACAGTAAAAAAAATTCAGACCTAAAACGCTCCGTTTACTGCACTAAAGGATGTTTACTAACTTATTAAATTAACACAAAGTTCGTATATCTAACGTTGACTGATGTGCAAAGTTGTTTACTTTGATCATTGATGATAAAAGTCTTGCATTGATACTACCATTTTAAACATTATCATTGAATATAATGAATATATTTCATTGAAATATCAGATTTCAGTGTTATATTCTAAATAGAATATTGCCCACCTTTCGTAACATATTACTTAAATTTTAGATGACAGTACAAACAGTTTGCCTCCTGATGTACAGAAACTGAACGACCTGATCAGAAATGGTGTCGATAGGCTTGACAGTTTCGAGGATATTAAACGGCAAATTATATTATCAAATTTTTCGCCCCTGACCAATTATCCAGACATTGAGTATGTTAGACGATACTATGTTGAATACAGTTGTGAGCTTTGGATTAATGAGTCTGTAGTTGCAATAATTAGCATAACCGATGGAGAGGAGATGGGTGCACTCATCGGCATGTTCAGTCACATCAACGCCATCTGTAACATAGAAAACGTGTGCCAACCTTGGAATGAAAGCGACTATTTCCAAATTCTTTTGAAACACAAGCATTTGATATCATCTGCCGAGCAAACCAAATACGTTTCGAATTGGAAAATGGAATGTTTAAAGGCTATAGTAACTGCGACTAAAACGATTAGGAATGAAATAGATTTCATAGAAGCATTTTTAAATCTAATAATAACAGTCAAAAAACAATATTTGAAATATTTGCAACTGCTGGATGCGAAGACAGACAAAATCACGCTTAAAGACATTTATGACCGAATAATGAAAGTAAGTAAGTATTTCAATTCTACTGACTTGCAAGAATTCACAAGAATAGTAAACAGGAAGAATCTTCGAGTCCAATTTCATTTGAGCAGTATGTTTTTTGATCTTGTATCAAATCTCGACAAGTCTCCAGAATTAGTTGTCGACGAAATTGATGGCAGAAAAATTATCCTAGTTTCTGCACTGAATTTAGTAATGAGTGATGTAATCAAAAACGTAGAGCATTTGCTTATGAACGATGCTGACATTCTGGAAGTGCGTTTCATTGGCGGTCACATCATTCATGCTGATGTCGATTTGCAAAACAATGTGTGGCATGGCAAGAATATTGTTGCTTTTACGAGGGTGTTGAAGGTGCATGGTAAGGTGACTTGGGACGTGTCTGGCAAAGATAACAACAAAGTATATGAATCCGATGCTGGGACTGATGACTTTGGCAACGGCTTGCAAGGGAATGACGGATTTGCTGGTGAGAGTGGCGGAAATGTCCTAATTCAGGCCGATCAAATGCGCAATTCAATTGAGTTCAATGTTATTTCCAATGGAGGCATGGGTAGCCCCGGACAAAATGGTGGAAATGGCCGAAACGGTGCGAATGGAATAGGAATTTGTAATGAATCTTTTAAAAATAATTTTCCTCCTATCTGCAATGTGTCAGAACCATATAGCTCAATTAGAAAATCTTTTGAAAGCGTGGAAGTGGATGATTCAAGCAAATTTTATAAATGTTTTCGAAATATATTCATTAAGGGAAAAACATATGAAGGTTTTGAATCAACCTTTGGAGCTAGAACTTGTTATCGTGCTTTTGTATTGTGCGAAGGTTTGCCAGCTAAGCCGGCTGGTATTGGTGGTGAATTCGGTTTGGGCGGACATGGTGGTTATCCTGGCCAAATTGATGGAGTTATTGGTGAAACAAAACCTGGCATTCCTGGATGTAATGGTGAAGGTGGAAGTTATGGCAAACCTGGTATCAACGGATGGGATATGGGCTACATAGATTACTTCAAATTTTTCGGTTTCGGAAAAAGTACACAATATTTTGGAACTTCCGAAAATTATAGACTGGCTCTCCAAAAATATACCTTTTCGGGAGATAATCATGTTTGGTGCGAACATCTTCAGTCGTATATTACCATTGAGAAATCCAGCGTTATTAATGCGAATGTCAAATACTATTCTGAAAAGCGTACTACAAGATCAAATTATGATCGCAAAAGCCACGCATTGCCTTCCAGGAAAAAAACTATTTCAAAAACCAATGTTCATGAAGTTTACAGTAAATATGTAAACGCAGGAATTGAAGCCCTAGAATCCCGCAGATCAGATTTGACTGAATTAGAAAAGTTAGCCGCACTAGAAATACAGAAAAGTTTTAAGCAAAAACAAAAAATTTCTTCAAAGCTTAAAAAACACATTGCTCAAAATTCTTTCATTTCAAGCAGACAAATTTCAATGGATGACTGTACGACGAATTTAAATATGAATAGCGTCGAGACAAACGGGATATCAAAGTTATTTGAAGCTTTCATTGAAATAAACAGCAAATTAATGTTTCAAATGAGAAACGAAAATATTGATGAGCTTGAAAGGGAACAATATTTTCCTAGGATCATCACAAGAAGTTTAGTTAGGAATTACATTTCTAGCCAGTCACTGGGTTCTCTCGACAAGTTTTTATTTGAAAATTATGAGAAATGAGGATATCATAGGACTATGATGTTCATCATTGAAAATTATACAAAATATCAAGATTGCACTCTAACACGTGCAGTAAAAAGATACATTTTGTCAAATGTTCAAAACAGTACTACGACAACAGAGCAATATTATAAAAATTATTGCAATTTTTTGGCAAAACAGAAAACAGATTTGAATAAATATTTGAAATCTTTTGTTGAAGAGTTTTCGAAACCAATTTATGAAGAGCTTCGACGATTGTTTTTATTATGTGCTACTTCCACATCTGAAATAAATAATTTTGAGTACAAGCTCGAGGAATCACAATCTGAACTGAATACTATTTATAACAATATCAATAAATGTCTCAAGCAGGAATACGACTGGAATATTTATTGCAATCAGAGGGATGTCTTAGACAAATTGGAAAACGATATAAGGCAAGGAATCCGATCAAGCAGCTTCAGAGAAATATTATCATATGTTTTTGATGTCAACATTAGATATTACATAGTTAAAAATAATCAATACTTTGCAGCGGATTGTCATAATCCTCTTGCCAGAAAAACTCTGCATTTACTTCATGAGAATGAAAGGATTCATGAAATGGAGACTGACGAAAAATACTTGGAACTTTTGCATATTCGTAGACTGAATATCGATAAATATAAATCTATTCTTACTGATGTTTCACTTCTAAAGATAGAAGATGTTACGGAATATATTAAAAAAAATATATATTTATTGAACAAATCAGATAATTCATGTCATGAATCAATTCACGATGATTTTGCATATATTGAGACAATTTTGTATTATTTAATTAAATCATTTAATTGTCAGAGAAAAGTCGAAATTTTAGAGAGGAGGCTTAGAAAATTATCTTCGAAGTTCATTGCTACAAATAGGATCTTATACTATTTAATGAAGAGATTTGTTTCTGAGAATGTTCAAATTTCCTATGAAGAGCTATGTTTCATAATCAACAGCATAATATCCTTTGAAATTTACAGTTCAGATGAACATATTTTAATTGAGTGGATCATAGTAACATGCCAACAAACACATTGGATAATTGAAATATTATTTTTAAAATTACAAAACTATTTTAGAAAATCATTATCAAATGAAATTGATATGTGGAGACGTTCATTATTAAAACTCGACAATAAATCTATGTTGCTCTTACTATCAATGACTTTAGATCAACATAATGAAGTTTGCATTACAATTGATAAATTGAATGAAATTTTTAATTATTTGACTGAAATATCAAGTATTATAACATCGGAGTTAGAAGGATTGGGTATATCGGAGTGGCCACAGAAATTAAAAGAGTTGTCGTATAGTTGGATAATTAGTCAAGGAATAAATCTTTCTAAGGCCGAAAATTCTACTGCAACACATTTTATCGTTAACATAAGTAACCACATTGGGAAAGAGCATACAATACAATTTTTGAAGACGCTTTTGTCGAGAAACATGACTAATTCGGATTTAATGTACGTTTTATTCTGGTTCAAGTCAGTGTGCGAAGAAGATTCTGTTACTACTGCAGATTTGTTAACATTTGAAAACAATCCCAATTCTCTGCTTTGGGCTGACAATTTGAAAAAAAAATATTTAAAATCAAGCAATGAAAGAACTTATTTCGAACTGATCAATTTAATGAAAGTAAAACTGATTGACAACGTTGACGAATTTGATTTAGATGCAATTGTTGAAAGATTATCGAAAGTAGGAAGTGCATCATCACGCATGGTACCAGCAAATAATAGATTTTGCAGCAAATAAACTTAACCTGGAACAGTGGTTTTCTATCCATACCACGACTAATGAGGAGATTTTATCCGCAATAGATAAAGTCATAGAAGCCAAAAGATCTTTCAAGCTTCGCGATTCTCAAAAACTATCAGTTATGATACTTCTAACGAAAAAAAATATTTTGGCTCAGATATCAACGGGAGAAGGCAAATCGTTGATAATTGTTGCATTCGCTATTATCAAAGCTATGAGGAGGGAAACACTTCATGTTGTTACAAGTTCGACAGTATTGGCTCAACGTGATGCTACAATCAATAATGATATTTACAGTGCTTTTGGTATCAATGTTGGAGATAATTGTGATCAAGTTATTGATAAAAGAAAACAATCTTACTCTAGAAATAAAGTAATTTATGGAGAATTGTCGTACTTTCAACGTGATTATTTGCTTGATACATTTTTCGACGAAAACATTCTGGGCGGTAACAGTTTTCATAATGTCATGATTGATGAAGTAGACAGTTTGTTGGTCGACAAAGGCAATAACATGCTATATTTATCTCATGAAATTGCAGGATTTGACAAAATTGAATCGGTATATATCTTTATTTGGAATTGGATTAATTCGCCTGTTAAATCTGAAGAAAATTTTGCTGACATTTTCAATGAAAATGACATACATAATGCGGTTATGCATGAAATCTATAACATTATTGATGAAAAAGATCTTCAGAGCATAGACAGCGGTTTGACCGAATCTGAAGTTACTTCTTTGTGGTTCAGTTTAATTGACATGAAGATATTGGATTCCAAAGGCAAGGTAGTAACAAATGATATCGCAAAAACTGATCTGGATATAATATTGCCGGAGAAATTCAAAACGTATTCATCTCGACTCGCCTTTCTCTTTAGAAACTGCATAGATAGACCAAGAAATATTTGCCTGCCAAATTATTTAAAAGGTTTTGTCGAACTTCATTTAAAGAAATGGATCAGAAGCGCCATCTCGGCTTTATTTATGAAGGAGTTCCAGAATTATGTAATTGATGTTGATAGAAGTGGCAGCAGCTCAGATAGAAATCCAATTGTAGTTATTTTAGATACTGATACTGGAACTGATCAACTTAATTCACAATGGGACGAAGCGTTGCACCAGTTTTTGCAACTCAAACATGGCTGTAAATTAACCATGCAAAGTTTGAAATCGGTTTATATATCAAATGTATCGTATTTTAAGCTATACAAAAATAAATTCGGTGTTACCGGCACCTTGGGATCCGAACAAGAATTGAGTCTTTTGAGAGATCTTCACGAAGTTACCACAGTTACAATTCCGACATCAAAGGCAAAACAATTCACGCCACGTGAACCGATTCTCTGCAAAACTATTGACCTTTGGATCGAAGAAATAAAAAAAGAAGCAATGTCTATCATCGAGAACGAGTCGCGTTCAATTTTGATAATTTGCGAGACAATGCACGAGGTGAATTTACTTCACGGAAAGTTGCGCAATGTGATCGAAATGGTGACATACACTCGCGACTACGAAGAGTTTGCCGAAAAGGAGAATTTGTCGTGCGGCACTGCTATCATTGCAACCAACTTGGCTGGTCGTGGCACCGACATCAAGTTATCTCGCGAATTGTGCGAACGGGGCGGCCTGCACGTCTGCATGACGTACCTACCAGGAAACTGTCGAGTGGAGGAGCAGGGATTCGGCAGATCGGCCAGGAGGGGTGAGATGGGATCAGGCCGACTGATCGTGATCAGCGACGAAGCCGACATGACGAGTCTGCAAATGAAAAGGGACGAGGCCGAGCTCAGGCGAGTGTCCGACATCAAATCTTATTACGACAGGCAAATTAGAACCGAGGAAAGTTATTTCAAACAATTTACTGATACATATGAGATGCTGAAAAGAAGGGTCGTGAATTTGGATTTCAGTAAAGTGCTATTGGACAGCTGCTTGGATAAGTGGGCGATGTGGTTAGATAGCATTTCCGAGCATATATCTATGATTGAAAATGAGCAGAGCAAATTATTTGCAGACAATTCTTTAAAGGCTCTTTTATCCGAACTGAATGAACTTAAACCGGAAGGTACTTATGAAAACTGGGTATCTCACAATCAAATGAGAATGACCGCTCTTGCAAAATGTTTCCTTGATACGCGACGATATGATATTGCACTTGCTCTATTTAACGAAGTTATACATAATGAACCTCTATTCTGTGAGACTGCATATTATTATAGAGCTCTTATTTACAGAAATTCTACTGAAAATATTGCAGATATGCATAAATCACTAGTTGAAGCAAGTAAACTGTTCACTCATCACAGAAATCAATTACTGATTTATTCAAATACAGTGGACATAATTAAAGACACGACAAACGTTGGTCTGATACAAATACAGTCCTATAATGAACAGAAGAAATGCACATATGAAATATATTCTGCCTATTTGCAGTCTATTGATGACATTTTGGGCAGTCCAATCACAATGGAAACTTTTTCCGAGATGGATGGCGAGTTGTTAAGAACTCTCCACAATGATTTAATCGAGCGAAATATTTTGAGAAGATCTAAAGCCAATGGTGACATCGATAATAGGACTTTAAAGGCTGTGGCAAATGAATTTAAAATATCTTTCACTTCACTCCGAGAAATTCTGAATGAGACTAATGAGCTCACAGATGATAAAACCTTTCAGCAAGAATTAAAAGATAGATTAAATTTTTGTAGTAAAGATAATTTCTGGAATGAATTAAGGTGTAAAAATATCATAACCGATGTTGTTGAGTATATTTCAGTAAAAATTAGCAAATTCAAGAATTATTTCGAAGAATATTGTGATCTTGCATCTGAACAAAATAAAAAATCCGAGTTATCTTTATTACTTAATCAAACCAGTGTACTATTTTTTGACCTTGAGAATATGAGGAAAGATATATATGACGAGAACTGTTTAATTTTAGAAAAAGTAGATTTAGCAGCAATAATTGGGAATAATAATATCGCCTTTATGATGAATAAAGATATAACGACTACAAATTACGTTGGAATAATTAATGCTGAAAACTGCGAATCATCATTCTTAAATTCTCACGATTCCATAACAAAACAGGATTTTCTGGACCAGAATATATCAGAGGACGATACCGATATAATTCTAAATCATCTAACACAATTAGAAATTTTGGCTAAGGATGATGTGAACACAAATGTTTATAGATTGGGAGAAGGATTTGCAAAAATGGATGGGCAGAATTTACCATCTTGGAATCTGTATGAAGAAACAATATTACGGCTTATGTCGGACCGGTTTTTCTTCCGAATGAATTTGCAAGAAATTCGAAAGTGCATCGACGCCGGTGAGAAAATTGCACTACTAGATTTTTCGCCAAATCCGCATCAACTCCTCTATTGGTCTCTAGTTGAAAATAGATTCGTAGAAAAAGGAATTGTTTGTTTTAGTGATGTCAGTATTATTGAACAATATGTTTCAGATATACAGAATTTTATAATTACCAAAAAAATAATAAGAGATATGCTTATTACTTTCGATCGTATCCGTGATGAGAATCTTGTGAATAATATATGGGCGCATCTCTTAGAACAACGTTGGATTTTAGCAGGAAATACAGGATTAACGGATGGAAAATTTGTCATTAGTTATATTAATATTTGCAGAATTAATTTAGACAGACATGTAGAATATGAAGTTATTTTGAGAGATGGTTTAAAGAATCGAGTTCATCTTGGTGCATTTGGAGAAATGATCTATGATAAATTGAAAAATCTAAATACTCCTGATATAAGCAAGTGCAAATTGGTACTTGGAGATTCTTCTGGTCTCAACAGTTATTTATATGCAAGCGAAGAAATGCAGGCCCTAAGAATATGTGGTCTCGATGAGTTTTTGTCTTTTAAGGCCCGTTTCTCGTGGAAACGATGTGTGAAATTAGTTTTTGGGGTTTGTAAAATATTACTGAGTGTTGCATATCGTGTAATATCTGATATATTCCATAACACTAGAGACGGCATCTCCCAGAGATTATTCAACAGTGGATTCGCAGATATAAAAGAAAGTTTTGCAATTTCAAATATAACATGGCACGATTATATAAAATATCGAATGATCGATATAATGCGAAATTGTGTTAAGTATGCAAAAGGATTTATTTATCGAGGAAATCGCTTGTCCAGATCACAGAACAAAATTAGCCGCGTTGTGGCTCATGCAACGAAATCGATGGAATTTCAGCCGAGCATAAATATATTTCTGTCAAATTTGAATCGTGATATACAAGCAACAATAATGGAAAGAATTGATGTCGAATTAGAAATAAAACTGGAAGAAGAAAATTCTCTTCTGCAGAAATGCTCGAGGCAATTGGGAGTGGAAACCTTTCAACATATTTTCATGGATTACTTTGTGAAGAAAGACAATAACATTAGACTTGCAATTGTTCTATCAAACATAAAAGGTGAAATGATGACAAAAATTAGAAAAATTACTAAGAAAATCTTAGCGGAAGGTTCAAATCGTAATACAATAGAAAAGCTACACAGTACTATAAATATTTCACAAGAACATATAAATGATTTATTGGAAACTTTTGAAGACATTATGAATAACTCTATTAGCGAATTTTCTGTTGATGTACCTCTAGACGCTCCTGCAGAAGAAAATATAGATACTAAACTGCTGAAAAAGTTCCTGCATGACATAACAGATAACTTCTTAGTAGAAAATTTGATGGATCCAATTTTTACAGAAGGCGCCAGAATAATGAATGATATATTCCTGAAAAGAGACATGGAAGTGTACGAGACAACACTTTGTAAAGACAACTCTTCAGATGATGTATGTTTAAAAATGAATTTGCTTGAAAATCGAAGAAACGCAGAAGAATCTGCCCAAAGAAAAACCATTTATTGTGCTGATGTTTTAACTAATACTTATAACCAAAAAATTTCGTGCCTTCTGGAGAGAGTTCGAGACATATCATCGTTTGCAGAACTTTTAACGGAAAACGCGTCTATAAATGAAGTCTACTTAAAACTTTTTGTTCACGTCATTCCCAAAGTACTGAATTTAGATTGTTTAACAATTTACGTTAACTATGAAGATAACAGCTGCCAGAAATATTCGACAAACGAAACATCTGGATCACCAACTGTAATTAACATCAGTTTGGTAAATGGAAAATTTCAATTGTATGACAATGGCTATGTGGACGACTTTAAGCAATTTCTTAAACATCCAAATAATTTGTACATCGCTCTTTCTGGAAAATATCATTGTCTGATCACCCAAGAAAGATTTGCCGAATTAATTGCAAAACATATAGAAAAAGAAAATGAATTGAATTCCATCTTGAAGAATATATGGAAAGAACTTGATGAATCTTCAGAGCAGTATGTAACTGAAAGTAATTTACAAGATCCGATAAATGAAGAATACAACTATGAAATCGATGATATCAAGAAGAATTTGAAAGCCATCGTTGCAAAGAAACTATATAAAGAAGATGATGACTTTGAAATAATGTGAGTTGAAATTAAAATACAAATATATATTATTAGCCTATTAAATTTTATTCACTTTTTAATCACTTGTTTCATTCATGTCATCGGAAAAAATCGCACATGAATTTTCATTGTTTCAATTTGTAATAACTTTAAGCATAACAAATTGATAGAATAATTAGTACTCGGAAAGTTATTATATGATTTTTTTCATTTTAGAGAGAAATTCGATATAACTCTCGAATCGCAAAATATCGAGGCAAAACCTGGTACCAGCACAGACACCTAAAATCCATAGAACTGGAGCAAAAACACTAATTAGTGCAATAAAGATTCATTGTGGAAAATTTTAATTAATCTTTGGCTGATTCATTAATAATCTAAAAAGTAACATTAAGTTTGTATTCGCTATTGGTGCTTTACGAACGATCTATTCAAAATTGTGATTTTTTACTAATGATTTATTAATTATATTATTTATTCATTTATTTAAATATTACTCTTCAAAAATCTCATGAATTTGGTGAATGAGACTATTATCTCATGGTTATCGAGATGATAGTCAAAGCAAAACCCTTACAATATTATAGGCCTGTGGTTTCGAATTTTTTTCGTAAAACTTGAGTGCGTTATTTAGAATATTCCATAAATTCTAAACTTTAATTAATTATGATAACGGAACCTTTTATCTTTTATCATAGGTCCATATTATTCATTTTCGAGATGAGTGATAATGGGATTCTAGTAAGCTTCTAGAAATGACCAATGACAAACCGAATTGAAATATTGTACAATAAACGTAAAAATAATCATATTTTATAAAATTAATGAATGGCCCCAACATGAATGATTTTTAAAGATATATAAATAATATTAATCAAATGTTTGATTATTTATGATAAATTATAATTGCCATCACAAGTTTACTAATCAATAATTGAATTTAAGCATATGAAGTATCAATTGAAGCATATCTATTATACTGATAAAATTTTAATTTATAAAATTGTAAGTAATAATAAATTGTAAGTAATGATAAATACTATATGAACGCTGTTCATTTTTATGATAGATAAATAGATAGACTAAAAATTTAAAGCATTTAAGAAATATAATATTAATATTTATGCATTTTATATAGTTTATGATTAAACATATAATTAAAACTTCTTAGTATTATTTTTTTTATAAATAAAAATGTAATCATGTTTTTTTTTAAATTATTTGTTGAACGAGTATTTATTTATTGAAGCAGTATTAAATATGTGAGTATTTATTGCAGCTTAGAAATTATGTGCGGATTTATCTTAGAAAATCATACATTTTTTTTCATGAAACTAAATAGCTATATCCTGTAACACATTGTCCATTTTGATCAATATCTTTCTGTTATTATTAAAGCAGTAACATTATCAAACTAGTGGTGTATGGCATCGTGCCTTAAGGCAAATTGCTAGAACTTTCCGTACCGTAACGAAATGTTCGAGAAATATTAAATGTTTTCAAACAGATTATTATAAATAAATACTGTAACATTGTCTAATATTTATAAGAATTATATAAACTGAATTACAAAGTTGAAATTATTAGTATATTAGTATTTTAGTCAAAATTAAAATTAAAATCTGCATTATTTTCAATATAAAAAAAAAAAATTTGAGAAAAAAAAAATTCTTGAAAAAAAAATTAGGAACAATTTTTTGTTCCAAAGGCATTTATTTTGTTAAGACAAGCAGAAAGTTCTTTAAATCATTCAAATAGGACGCTTAGATCTCTCAAAAACTGCCATTTTTTGCACATTTCGCTCTGTATCTTCGAAATGGCTGGACCTGCATTTGCCAAAAACTAATCACCTGTTCTCCCAATCATTACAAATTGAATCTTTTTTAGATCATTCAAATCGGATACTCCGTACTATCAACAAGTCGATTTATATTTTCTGCACTCTTTGCTCCGTATCTCCGTAACAGCTGGACCTGCCTTTGCGAAAAATTAATCAGCACATCTTCCTATCAATAGAAATCGAATGTTTATTGAACCATTCAAATCGGTCGATCCGTGCGCCCGAAAACTTGGAGGAAATAATGCGGACATACAAAAAACACACACAGACACACACACATGTTCTTCTGAGGCATAAATGTTCAGAAACCTTCAAAACGTCGAGAAATGCAAAAGTTTTCATTTTCGATTTTCGGCCCATTACTTTAACTACCCTACGGGAAGTTAATTATAAAACTTCCCATTTAACATTATCGTCATTATTGATGTTTTTTTTAAACTCAAAGAGTTTTGTGAAGATCAAAACTAAAAGTGAGATCAGATGGTAAGGAATGTATGGTGGATTTGGCAAAACATCTCAATCAAGTTTCATTAATTTCAATAATGGAATAAATCACCCTTTGGCAACTTAAGCCATTTTTTTCTATTGCGATGTTTATTTTTGTTAATTGTTTCAATGTAAACATCAGATTTGATCATTTGGTCGGTGACAACATTTCAAAGTAGACCATTTGTAATCAACTTTACATGGACGACGACCAGAGTATTTTTCATCTTTGAGTGGAAAATCACCAGAACGAAATTTGGCAAACTAATTTTGACACGAGCTCAAGATGCCTTCATACAATTGCGGAAATGAAAAGCAAAAGATAACAAAAATCTTCGATTAGATTTCCAAAGTTGTCCAGGTCCAAAGTTGTGAGTGCATCATATTCTTTGTTCTAACTTTTCTAATTGACATGTGGCAGAATTTCGTGTATGAATGAGTATATTCGTCAGGCGTATAAAACAGTGTGGATTTGATATTTAAATTGAAACTTTTGAAATAAATATATATGTATATAATAATAAGAATAATAGAATTGAATTAAAATATTTTGAGGTTTTAATAATTAATAAATAAGAATTAAATTTTACATATTTGAATAACATTTTCATAACGATTAATTGACTATTAATTTTAAAAATTGTCTAATACTTTTTTCATTTATTTTCTTACATTTATCATAAGTTATACTGTTCGCAAAAAATCGAAAATAAAAATGAATTTTTTTTATATATCTTTACGTTTTAAAGGTTTCTGAACATTTTGGCATACCTCAGTGTGTGTGTGTGTGCGGATACAATTTTTTGTCAACGATTTCGGGAACACTGTTCAACCGATTTTAATGATTCAAAAAACCTTTGATTCATATTCTGGGGAAACGAGCTGATTAGTTCTTTGCAAAGGCAGGTCCATTCGATTTGAAGATATGATGCAAAAAGTACTAGTAATGAAAATTTAATTTTTGAGAAAACGGAGCGTCTTGTTTGAATGATTCGAAAAACATTTTATTTGTATTGACTGAATTAAAAATGAACAAAATTTTTGGTTTTGGAGATCCAGCTTGCATATCTTTACGTTTCAACGGTTTCTGAACATTTTATGAAAAAATGATGTATGTGTGTGTATGTATGTTTGGATATAATTTTTCGTTGACGTTTTCGCGAGCACCGCTCAACCGATTTGAATTATTACTGATGATTAGTTTTCGGCAAATGCAGGTCCAACCGTTTTGGAGATACGGAGCAAATACTTTGAAGAAATGATCATTATACATATGCACATCAAATTATCAGATATTTTATAAAGATTTTAATATTACGTTTAAATTTTGTTAACATTTCTATGGGTTCCGTAACATCGTTTGTCCGTTAGGCTACGACACGGCGCTTACGCGCTTCGATATTTCGTCTCTATGCAGTTAAAGCAGTACGATTGCTTTGGAAAAAAGTTCAGAATTTCCAAAATATTTTAAAATGCACTTTTCTTCAAAGAGTCTTTTTTTCAAAAAAAGTAATTTTTGTCAAAAATTTATAGTTTCTCAAAAATCTAATTTCTCAGAGTAAAATTTTTTCAAAAATGTTAATCTTGAAAAAAAAAATTTTATGGTACGGGAAGTTCCAGCAATTTGCCTTAAGGCACGATGCCATGCGCCCCACTAGTTTGCATAAAAACCGGGACAGGTTAGAAGGCATGCGAGAGCGGGCGGGGTTTGGTGAGCTAAAAACTTATTTTTTTTTTATAATTCTTCAACAGCGATCAGAACTTATGAGTTCTATGAGCTGTTGTGATCAATTATCTTACAATTATTATAGATGGCAACCCAAACAGTTGTCCCATCTCTATGTGCTGAATTATTACAATTGTTGTAATCGTGATGACTTTTTACTTCCAAGTGGCATGTTGCCACTACAGCTATGCCCACGAAAGGCCATTTTCACTTGAAATCATATTTGAAATCTCACTTTTTTTCTTTTAACCTTTTTTCTTTAACCTTTTAACTTTGAAATCATATTTGATTTCAAGTGAAAATTTGATATCAAGCTGCTTTGATACCGAACCGACCGAGGTTGGATTCGAACCCGGGACTAGGATTTGCTAGCCCACGTTCTTACCACGGGACCACGGCCGGCCCTAAAAACTTATATGCACATTTTTGGGTTCAAATTTTCTAATTGAAATGTAGTTAAAAATATATAGGCAATCAAAACATTTTTAAAAATCCGGGACAATCCGTGACAAAACACCTAAAACTGTGGACAAATATTGCTTTTAGAAAAAGCCGGGACGCAAGGCGGAAAATCGGGATTGTTCCGGCCAATCCGGGACGTATGGCCACCTTACCTTAAAGCAACTTTACCTAATTATATCATACACTCGGGCGCTTATTCTAACTTTTCCACAAGTCTTTTTTCAATGTTACAGCTCAGAATGACTTGAAAGGTTTTTTTTTATAATTTTATTTCATCAGAAAGCGATCAGAACTTATGGGTTCTATGAGCTGTTGTGATCAATATCTTACAAACTACGTTTGTTTTATTACAGATGGCAACCCAAACAGTTGTCACATCTCTGTGTTATAATTTTTTTTCATTACAATCTCTGTAATAGGGCAAGTATATGGTGCAACAATGCCGGGTGAGGGCTATTTTCACTTGTAAACATATTGCTATTTATATTTCCAAGTGAAAATCGTTGTCACTGCTGCCTGACAACAGGCTGCTCGAAGTAGGTATCGAACTCGGGACCTCTGAAACAAGTCCCGTCGCTCTTAACCGCTTACCTACGGGCGAGCCCAACTTGAAAGGTAATTTAATTTTTAAGTTTCTAAAACTTTTACCGAAATTTGTATTGTTTTAGAATCGCTGAATCTCTTACATAAGCATCCGACAGCCACAGCATACTTATATACGAATCCGAGGCAAGTTCAGCCGCACACGGCACACGTGAATCGGCCGAAGAGCATCCCATTTCAGTTGAATTCTTCTATTCGTCATATTGTTTTACATACAAATAAATGCAATGTGCGTTTTGTAACGGGATCTGTGATACTTCATACACACATATATATGAATGATAGAAAATAACATTTCCAACGTTCAAGATACTGTATGTAGTTTAGTGTTTGTGACGGAATTCCTACAGATCGGAAATTACTAATAATTACCTGTACAGGTGAGTACGTGCAAAAAGTTTATTATTGTTATATTTATCATGTTGTTCGTGCTAGTTGCGTGCAAAATGTTTAGTACGGATTTAATAACGACTTTTTTGTATGTTGCACAGTGCTGATTTTTTTTTTTTAATTTGAAAATTTGCTTTATTTGACTTAAATACATACATTGATTTTTACATAAAGATACAAATTGTATAGACCTATTCTGAGAATTTCATTATACTACACACAGTGCTGATTTTTAACTTCCCGTAGGGTAAAAAAATCGAAAATAATTTTTTTGCATATCTTTACGTTTCAGAGGTTTCTGAACATTTTGGCATACTTTAGAAAAAATTTATGTTTGTGCGTGTGCATGTGTGTGTGTGTGTGCGGATACAAATTTTCGTCGACGATTTCGGGAACATCGATCAAACCGATCGATCATTCGATTCCTATTTAAAAGGAGACATGCTAATTAGTTTTTGGCAAAGGCAGGTCTAGCCGTTCCGAAGATACGGGGCAAAGACGGTAACTCAGTTTGTAAGAGAACGGAGCGTCCGATTTTAATAATTCAAAACTTGTATTAGGCAAGCAGAATTACTTAAGTTTTTGAGAAGGCGGGTCAAGCCGTTTCGGAGATCGAGTAAAAAATGAAAAAAAAAAGCCATTTGGCGGTCACAAATGATTATTAGACATATACACATCAAATTATCAGATAATTTATAGTGATTTTAATAATATATATGAATTTTATTTACATTTCTATCGGTTCTGAACCAAGATTTATAATGTTAGACTACGATGCGGCGCCTACGCGCTTCGAAATTTTGTCTCTGAAACAGCTCTACTCACGATCGTTTAGAAAAAAAAGTTCAAAATTTTTTTAAAGTTCATTTAGAAGTTTTTAAAATTTTGAAATAACGTTAAACACGTGGACTGGAGCAAACTAGTCCCCGGTTCGATCCAAACTTGATATCAAGCAGTATGATATCAAATTACTACTTGAGGTTATATATCTCAAATATAATCTACTATTCTTCTAATTATTGATGGGATAATTACAGGCCACTTATTTTAGTTTCTTTTTTTAAGAAATAATTAAAAAAATTGTACTTTCATCGGGCAGTCACCTTCGTTTTTCTTGAATTTGTAAAATGAAAACGATAGTCAAAATTTATTAATATATTAAGGGTGCAATGCAAAGTTATACTTCTTTTATATAATTTTTTTTAAATTTCTCAATTATATATCAACATACAACATCAAATCCTTATTAGACTTAAAAAATAGAGCATTAGGACTCACTCTTCTGTTATGAGTTTGATTTAACAAATTTCTTACTAATGTTCTGGTATAATCAGTCATTTTTGTACTTCTCATATTATGTCTAATTTATATTATTATACAAAATGTTTTATTATATGTTGTGATGTGATTTATCAACCTAGTGTAAATAAAATGCAATCTAGTGGTAGTATTAGATTTTTATCAAGAAAAAGCTATTGATTCC